CAGCCAGTGAAGGTCCAGTTGGCTTCCTCACTGTGGAGGAAGCTGGTTGTGTCTCCATTTACACATTCTTCTCAAAGTTCTTGCTCTGTAAATGTGTTTTATGTGTGGACTGGCCTTTGATTGTAGCATCTTATTGGCTGCCTCGTTAATAATTCATGCACAAAATCCTTAACATGTGTTCATTTTCTATATGTATGAGAGCCATTATCTTACCTTCTAAGATCATTTAACAGTATGTATTGAATTAAATTATATGAGTTTTCTAACCTGCTGATTTTAAGTATCGTGTTATGTCTGTGTCTAGTTGTTCCCCCAAAGCCTCAAGTGAATGAGGTTGGGCTTTTTTGGAGGTGGCTGGATCTAGAGTGTGTGATGCTGGAATTGATTCACGTTGCAATGCTAGGCTCAAGGGCACTGGGATTAAGGGTGTGAGAGACACCCTCCCTAGGAGCCTGGATAAGACAAAAGGGGCAGAAAGATGCTGTTAAGGTCCCTTGTTGCTTTTGCTATCTTCTGATGTCATGAACTGTTGCCCCTCTGACATGTGCCACCCTGCCTTGGAGCCAGCCACTTATGGACTGAAACTTCTACAAACTGTGAGCTAAATAAATCCTTTCCTCTTTAACTTTGGGTGTCCCTTATTCTGTCTCAGCAATGAGAGAAAAGTAACCAAGACATATTGTGTTAGCTTTCTTGTCACTGGGACAGTACCCAGCACCACAATTTAGAGAAGAGGTTTAATTTGCTCACGGTTTCAGTTCACAGACAGATGGCTCCAAGGCAGACGGGTGGGGCACAGCAGACTGCCCAGTTCGTAGCAGTTGAAATCGCCAGAAAGGAGCAGATGAGGGGCCAGATATAGAACCCAAGGCCATACCCCCCAGGCACACCCAGGAGCTAGTAGTAATAATCTGATAGGTGTTTCTTAATCCAACCAAACTGAGGGTTTAATGGCCACACCATTTGTACATACACCAAATGCAACAGTCAGCCCTCTGTACCCAAGGCCTTTGCTTTAGAGAGTTCAACAAACACAGATCAAAAACTTTTCAAAAATTAAACATATAGAGACTCGTTTTCTTGTCCCCTAAGCAATAGAGTATAACAACTATTTACATAGCATTTATGTTAAATAATGGAAGTCACCTAGAGATACTATATAGTATACAGAAATGTGTGTACATTACAGACAAATAGGACACCAGTTTTACAAGAGGATCCACACCCTGGGGAGGCAGTGTTCCTGGAACTAATCTTCCGCAGACACAGAGGGGCAACTGTACTTCAGATCCTCACCATAAACGCACAAATTTTAAGGTCTTCAAGCAGTGTTAAAAGCTTCCTGCAACCCCTCCCAGCTCCTCAGGGATAATCACTGTTGGCAACGTGGCGAATAGTCTCCCAGACATTTCTTCATGCTACATTTTTCTAAAATATTTCTATGTAAAACATTTCTGTGTGAATTTTTTTTCACAACTCCTTAACTAAAAATGTCATCCACCGTGGCATTCTGCAACCTTTTTTTTTTTCTTGCTTAAGAAGCGGTTGATCTGTCGCCTCAATGGCTTCACAGAAGTCCACAGTATGAATGGTTTGTACTTTTCTCCGATTAATTCCTCACTAATGGATTTTTAATTGCTTTTTTTTTTCTCCACTGCAAGCTGTGCTATAGCAAGCATCTTGGTCCATCCATCTTGATGCTTTTTCCCTTTTAAAAAATTAAGTACCTCCATAAGCTCTATTAATATTGCCAGGCATGTAATTTATAATTCCTGAAGTTATTGCTTTAGAGTGTATTTAGTCTGGCTCTCCCCAAGCAATTTTTCTCCACTTTTGTGCACATTAGTTTCCTGGTACACAGGATCCCTGAGTGTTGCTGATGGAAAGTAGTTCTTTAAGTACAAAAAGCGCTGAGTAGCATATAAGTGGGGCCAATATAATACACAATTTCAAAGGCTGAGCTAGTTTGCTATGGAGCGTGCTTTTCAAAGCATGGATGAAATCAGACATTCTTTGTAATCACTTTAAAGTAGATACCAGTACTTGTAGCATACAAATAAGAAAGTGGAAGTACAATTTGGGTTTAGATTTAATATCATTACTACAATATTTTGATTATAGATATTCTTATTAGTAGGAAATAACACTTTTCCATATTAAAAAAGCACTCAAAACATGCTCTGCAGCCTTCCTATATGTGATAGGTATTTGTTAATGGGATTTGGGAAGGGGGTTGGTTTCTGGAGGGAGGTTTTGCTTTTTGGATTTTTTTTTTTTTAAGAGGCTCTCACTATGTAGTTTAGGTTGGCCTTGAACTTACTAGGTTGGCCTTGAACTTACTACGTAGCCCACAGCAGCTTCAAACTTGCAGTGATCCTCCTGGTTTAGCCTCTAGAGGGCTGGGATTAGAGGAGCACACCACCATGCCATCTGGGATTTTTTTTTTTTTTTGGTCTTTTGAGACAGGGTCGGTCTCACTATGCAGTTGAGACTGACCTGGAACTCACTATGTAGCCCAGGCTGGTCTCGAACTCACAGCGATCCCCCTGCCTCAGCCTCCCGAGTGCTGGGATTACAGGCATGCACCACCACGCCCAGCCTGGGATTTATTTTTTAATGGAGTATATTTTAATGGGTAAAGATGTAGCCCCTCCAAATTATATCTGGGTTTGTATTTTACTTCATCACTTACTGCCTTGTACTTTGGGGCAAAAAACCCTTGCCCTTCTGTCCCTAAAGATCAAATTTTAAAACAAAACAAAACAAAAAAGCCTATCTACTTGGAAATTTAGTGAGTAAATGCATGTAAAATGCTTTGAAAAGTGCAATTATGATCAAATCTTTACTATGGAGTCAGTGAGAAAAAAAATCTTTGCTTTCAAGTAGGTTGCTGCAGTGTGGTTGTAAATAAGGGTTTACAGGTTAGTGTCACTGAGCAGTGTAATCACAGAATACAGTGACAGCTTGGGACTGACCTTAGTTTTGAAGAGTATGGGGAAGTTTCCTACAAGCAGAGAAGGCAAAGGGTCCCCCAGATCCCTCCACTTTCTTTCCAGGTGGCAGAAACACAATACCTTGACTGCTCTGTGATCCCGCCAGCTGCATGTATTTCCCCCCTATGGGCTTGAGCCCAGGCCTAGAACGTTCCCAGGCACTGATAAAACTGTGTAGGTTATTGTCTGGAACACTGAAAGATCCAAGTATATACTAAACACACAGAAATTAGCCCTGGCTCTGAGCCGATTTTCTTAAACCCGCATACAAACTCTGCGTCTTAGTTTCTTTCTCATCGCTGGGACGAAATACCTGATACTGACAATTTAAAGGAGGAAAGGGTTTATTGTGGTATAGTTGGTAGAGGTTTCAGTCTGTAGTCAGCTAGTTCCAAGACAGGGCAGCAGGGCAGCTGAGAAGCCTTCATAGCACAGCAGGCAGGAAGCAGAAACATCAAGGGAAGAGAAGGGATTTATATGTATCCTTCCCGGCCACACCCACAGTGACTCATCTCTTCTCACCCCACTTGACCTCCAAGGTCACACCCAGCTATAAACTCGTCAGTGGACAAACCCAGTACTATACACACCCGTGATCTAATCACCTCCCAAAAGCCCCACCTATGAGCACATGAGGCTTTGGGGGGACGTATAGATATAAACCATAACACTCCATAATCTACCTCCCTTATGTGAATTTACCTAGGTAGAACACTTTTTCTCGCTGTCCACTCAAGCATATTATAAATTCTCTTAATAAATGCTTTGGTCTGATCACTCTGGCATTTGGTTCTGATTTCTTTGGAATCCCAATTGACTCCTTCTCAGGGTGATTTGGGGGAATCCTTTTGTGAACTACTACTCCTTTGGGGGCAACTTCAGCCTAGGGGAACAGATAAAAACTAAGACTTGGAAAGTCTTTGAGATGGGCAGAGAGCCCACTTCTCTCAGGTACATTTGGCAGCTACAAACAGTTTGACAGGGCTGGTTCATGAGTGGTATTTGGTGAAAGAAGGGGCATGATGTTAAATTGATGGCTGAAGACAGGTGATATAAAATTTATTAGTTCATGTTTGCATTAGATAATGATTACATTCCTTGTAAGGAGTTGGTACATGGACATAACACATCTCAATGCAAAAGAGTTTAACTTGGGGGGGGAGTTTAGCTCAGAAGTTCTGCTGCCTGCCTCACAAGCTCAAGATCCGAGTTTTCGAGTTCCATCCCCATACAAAAAAAAAAAAAAAAAAAAAAA